CCCCCCCCCTACTTCTTCTGGAAACACTTCCTGTTGTTGTACGACTGAATTTGCCGCGTGTTTCTTTATTTCCATATGTTGATGAAGATGTTTTCTGAATGTGTTTGTGTGTTTGCGTGAGTTTTCTTCAGTTGCAGTGAGTTGAGCCCTCAGGGCCACCGTAGTCCTTTTAAAGAGGAACCCAGGACTGAAGAGTCCGAAGAGTCCAAAGACACATTCTGATGCTCCAGATGAAAAGAAACTGAGAGTCAGAGGAAGAGTCAGAGTCTGATGAAGACAGACGGCGACTGACGGAGACGGAGAGGACTGTTGGTGTAAGTCCTCTCTCTGCCAGCAGGGGGAGACAGAAGCACCTGTGCTACGCATCCACACACACACACACACACACACACACACACATACACAGATCATGTAAAAACACACAAATAAAAACAAACCTGATCATCACTGTTAGTGTTTCATTCATTCCCATATACATTTTTAATATATGTACATATATTGAATTTCTATATATGACATATATGTACTTATAACATAAAAGCACATATGTAAAAATCATATGGAACCCATTAGAAATTCGAATAATGTCATATATTGACATGTATGTCTAGCCCATACAAATATGTATGTTAATGTATGTATGCTTATATTGTAGATATAGTTAATATAAATATACTGTATATCCACCTCAAGGCCAAGAGTCTAAACACTCTCCTAGAATGGGAAGAGATGTTTAAATGAGCAAGAAACACATATATAAGCATATAGATCTTTTATATATGTGTGTTGTTTTAATAAACTTATTTACTTATATAAATTAAATATATATTGTTAACATATATGGTTGTGTCAACATATTTTTTATATATGTGCATACACAACTTTTATTATGGGTATTTCATATATGTTATGAACTTATATCTTCATATATCCAGAGGGTGAATATATGTGATAATTATAAAGGTGACATCACTCTTGATATAAGAAAGAACACAACCACAATAAACTCTGTGTATCATTTGTTTCTGTTTGTGCACACAGAAGAAGTACACATGCACACACACACACACACACACACACACACACACACATGTGCAGTGTACAGTCAGATAGAAACAGGATAGCAGGGATTTGGCAACAAGATCACGTGTGTGTTCTGCCAAGCAGCCATGACATGATGTTATGTAACACATGAGACACACACACACACACACACACACACACACACACACACACACTTGTACCAGCAGCAGCTATGAAAACATTTGCCTGTAGATTATCATCAGTCTAAACCTCACTTCCTGTTTCTGTCACTAAAAGAAGCAGCTGGAGCTGACGCTGCGTTTAAGGACACGGGGAGAACTCAGATTTCAAAACATCAGCACAGAGCAACATCTGGCTGCAGCAACAGAAACCACTGACAGTCCAGTCTGAAGTCAAACACACACACACACACACACACACACACACACACACACACACACACACACACACGCACACAGTTTGTTCCACTGCTCAGTGTCAGATACAGAAATACACAGGAGACAGTGTGAAGTCAGTGATGGTTCTGACACCTCCATGAGAGAGAGAGAGTGTGTGTGTGTGTGTGTGTGTGTGTACAGTGTGTGTATGTACAGTGTGTGTTACGTGTACGACGTGTCTGACCGTCTGCAGTTATTCTCGTCCACAATGGTTGGTCATGTGACCGACACTGTGGCTCTATTATCAGCTGCTGTTATAAACCCTGTGTCTGTGGTCATCCACTTGCAGCTCGTCCACTGACTCCACCCGGCTGAGATGTGACAGTTCGACACCTCGTCTACAGACTGTGAAAGACTTTAGCTGCTGTAACCATGAATCAAATCACCTGCTGTGAAATGAGAGTGATGACTTCTTCTTCAGACGCTTTAGACTCTTCTTAGACAATTAGGTCAAACCAGTGAAACCTCCTTCATCTGCGTCCAGAGGAGTGAACACAGGAAGGAGGCACAGGTTCCATGGTGTAATGGTTAGCACTCTGGACTTTGAATCCAGCGATCCGAGTTCAAATCTCGGTGGAACCTTAGAACTTCACTTTAATAAAGAAACATATAATTGATTGTGACTGTTTGCACAATGAACTCTGGATTGAAGGAGTTACACACGGTGTAAATATTGTTTGTAACTGCTGAACATTATCACTGTTATCACAAGTGTGTTGAGATACAAACTCAGGTAAATAGTACCACAGAGTTGCTTTAAGGCTACATCTACACTAATACCCTTTAGTTTTAGAATACCTTTACTCCTGCTGTCCACATTACTCCGAGCCTCTGAAACACACTTTCAGAAACACTGCTGGACCAATTTTATTCTGAAAACTCTTGGGGTTGTGTTTTATTTTGAAACTCTGGGGTTGTGTTGTAGTGTGGACGGACAGAGAGTGAGACCTCTGTAAACGATGAGGTCACAGCCAGGGTCTCTCCTGATTGGCTGTCATCAGCCTGGACTACCAGTGGTGAATACAACATGATGATGAATGACAGAGTTACTGACCTTGTTGTCTTTGCTAGCAGCTGCTGTTCACTTACATTCTCTGTTTTAATGCTACAACTGTCTCTGCTGCTCCTCCTTCAGAGGCTTTACTGCAGAGGAGACAATCTACTTCCTGTTTACACCGGCTCGCACACGATCTATGTACGTGGATGGTCATGTGATGATGGTGTGTTTTCAGACATGTTAGTGTGGACAGAGATCAGTTGTGAAACATTGCTACAGAGATTGTTTATGTTTTAAAACGCTTTTTAAAAATAAAATCGTGCGAATGTGGACGTAGCCTGAGAAAAAAGGTTCTTTCAACTTTACAAGAAACTACAGAAACACAGAAATCACAATCCATCAAACTATTTTTTTCTGGATTTCTTTCCAGGTTCCTATGGAAGAAGATCAGGGTTTGTTTTTTTAGAATTCAGACTTTAAACTCAGAAATCTGACTTTTCTCTCGGTCTTCAGGTCTCTCTACCTAAATAAAAAAAGAAAGAAATTTCACGTGGCCCCGATCTTCTTCTGCAGAATTCTGGTGGCAACTATTAAAAACATATTGTAGGTCCAGAAACTTTTGAAAACGCTCCTGCAGCTGCAGCGTCCTTCTGTCTGCTCATTATTATCCACAGACGTTGTGTTTTTACTCGTATTCTGGGGCAAGTATGAAAACCTAACTATAACTTCAGGGATTTTAACCGACAACCTTCCAGTCAAAGCTCACCTCTCTGACCTGTAACTGACGAGACGAGGAGATTTAAATAACTCGACATCAGAGACATTCTCAGAGTGACACATCACAGCTCCACTGATGAGAAAATATCTCTGACACAAGAGTGAAGACTCGTGAGGCATGAGGTCACTCAGTATTTATTTGTCGAGCGCTGCGAGGGGCAGGATGATGTAGCGTTTGAGGACGGTCCGTCTGTCAGGACTTCAGACCGCTGCTGCAACGAGAGGAATGTTACAAACTGGTGAAAGAGTGAAGCTGTGTTATATTTAGTCTGTCCTCTGTGGTCGTTACCTCCTTTAAAGAGGTCATGTCTGTCTGTCTGTTTATCTAATTGTTTGTTTGTTCCCAGGTTTTCTTCCAGGAGCACAAAGACCAGACTGATGGAGGTTCTCCGTCTCAAAGAGTTTTATCTCAGATCTACAGCGAGCTCCTTGAACTTCAAGGTTTGCTTTCACACAGCGTGAACTGAGGTGTGTGTCTTTATAAACTTTGTCCAGTCAAGTCAGTTAGCCACAGGTGAACTCCATCGAGGTCTCGGCTCATCAGGAAACACCTGACCTCAGTCTGGAGCCACAGTGAAGAGTCTGAAGACATACATTTTTTCCATTTAAAATTAATCATGGTGTTCTCATTGTTTACCTAAAGACGGAGGCGTGGTGGGAAGGCGTTGGTCTTGTAAACCAAAGGTCATGGGGCAGCTCATCCATCACCATCGTCTGTTTAACGTCATGACACTGTAGGTGGTTTGTTGGAGCTACACTGACATCTGGTGGTTCAGACACAGCACTACAAGAGTGTAGTACGTTTCCTTTACATCGACTCTACTGAAGCAGCTCTGAGGGATTTCTTCTTTACTTGACTTTTCCTTTTATAGTTTCATTCCAGGAAATTTCAGAAGGAAATTCAGTGATATTTATGCCAGGATATTTGACAGCTGTAGTTAGTGGTTACATAGGAAATGTACAATGTGAACACTGGATTGTTATAGATTAAAATACCCACAGGCACAGCTGGATTAACCTGCTGATTAACCCAGGACAAAAACTTGTATTTCAGTCTCTTATGATGGAATAAGACTGGGCCCAAGTTTGAGTCACTTAGTTAAACACAAGTTCATTAAAAACTACAAGATTATTTACAGTATGTACGAGATGGACACAATATAAACTAAAATAATTTAAGTTTAAGGGCCTTTTGCGTATTATATTACAGAAACCAGAGTTAATGTTGTACTTTATTTTCAAACTTCAGGTATATTTTGAATAAAATACCTTTTTACTTTAAATAAAGTTTTGACTGTTTAGTTTAAACTTAGTAGTTTAAAACAGTCAGTCGATTGTTTTCAGGTTGTTTTCATGAACAGAAAATTTGTTTCTAAATCAAATTGTGACTCATATAAACTTAATCATATAAATTTAATGCTAAACGAATCAGCATTAGACAGAAGAAGTTAATTGATTGTAATTTACATGAACAAACTGATTAAATTTGGTAATTTTCATAGAAGATTTCGAAGCACATTCTTTTTCAAATTTACCTTTTTTATTCAAGTTTACCAAAATCCAAATGAAAGCAGGTGTTTACACACCTGAGAATGATGTCACTACAAAAATATATAAAAAAATGAAACTAAAACCAACAGGAACTAAAAGACCTCTCCAGATATTCACAGGTCGGGAGTTTAGAGAAGTTTAACTGTGAACCAACAGAAGTTTCACTGGAGGAAATGAACAATCACATTAAACGTCAGTGTCATTCTTTAAATACAGGAGTTTAAACAGTTAATGAAACCATGATGAGACGTTAGAAACACTGGGATTAAACTGTAAAGACATTATTTCAATAACTAAAGCTGTGGGATTCATTCGCCACTGAACTGAGCAAAAGAAACATCCTGAGAAACTGAACTCACGGTGAAATCCCCGAAACACCAAGATCTGTTCATAATACCATCAAATAAAAAAAGGATTAAAGGTCTTCTCAGTCCAAAACAAACAAACATCCTCTCTTCCTGTTTCTGACAGAGGTCGTGTTGATGACAGTCGTCATAGCAGCACCAGCCCCTCCCTCAAGGTTAGAGACTTCCCAGCTGTTACCAACGCATCAGGAAGTGGTTGGGGTTAGCCCACCCTGAGAGGCGGAGCTACGAGGACGACGCCGTCGCCTCTGACAAACAGCATGGGGATGTTCCTCTTGGTCGACTGAAGGGACACGAAAACAATATTAATGCTTTTATTTTACAGTTTTACTCAAATTATATTTTTAAAGTTCTTTAACTTTGAAAAACAATGTTTCAGACAGATACAAAAATATATAATTTACACACACGATTCCAAAAAATAGGAATTTTAAATACTTTGAACACTGCGCAGAGCGGCATCTGAATGAACACTGATTAACATCTACTCTGTATTTTACCTGGCAGCTGGACAGATCAATAAATATCATCTAATTGCAGACGGTCTACATCAGTATCAACATCAGGATCAGTATCAGTGGTGACGTCAGCTGATAATGAGGTGTCATGTCATTTAGAAACAGTGTGTTTACACAGTGTGTCCACCAGAGAGCGCTGACAGGACTTTTACCTGCTCTGCTCACTGTGTGTGTGAAACTCATGGACTTCTTCTTGTGTTGTGGTATTTCATCGTCTCCTCTGTGTTTAGACAACACACCCACACTGCTCCTTGTTTTTAAGTCTGTAACGACAACTGTGTCACATGACCCTTCACATGATGGTTCCTCTTTACAGAGACACAACTACAAGAGTCTGAACCCTCACAGCCTGTGTGTGTGTGTGTGTGTGTGTGTGTGTGTTCCTGGCCTGTCTGTAGTGTTTCATGAGAGGGGAACAGCTCCATGTTGTACCTTGTAGAGTTCTTCATACGTCTCCTCGTCAATCTCCACCGTCGTCACCGTCTCCTCCACGTCTCCCAGGATCATGTTCAGGTGCTGATCATACGCCTGAAACAAACACAAGCACAGGTATGAAATCAGAGAAAACACAAACACAAACACACACACACACACGCACACGCACGCACACACACACACACGTTAGAAAGAGAGAAAACCAGAAATACACCACAGGAAACAAAACTGTTTTTTATAAGAAAGTCTCTGGAGGCTGAGCTGACTGATCCAGACTCCTGGTTTCAGAGATGAGCAGTGTAGGGAGACTGTGTGTGTGTGTGTGTGTGTGTGTGTGTGTGTGTGTGTGTGTGTGTGTGTGTGTGTGTCTTACGTGCAGTCGGCCGCGGAGCTCCCTGTCATTCCTCATCTTGACGTAGATCCGTTCATCTAGACTGAGTCTGATCAGGTCCAGTGGCTCCTCCACTGTGTTGGTGGTCGGTTGCTGCAGCACATGTAGAGAACGTAGGTTAAAGACACACACAGATATCAGAGTAAACTCAGTGTTGGAGGTTAGGATTTATTTTTCTGATGATGAAAACACAGAAGGTCAGTTTCAAAATACTTCTTTAAACATGTGAATAAAGAAATATTCAAACATTAAAGTTTCCTGATCCAAGCATCGTGCTGCTTTTGAAATGAAATTAAAAAAACTTGATTGTTTATGAAAATACAAAAAATAACAAAGTAAAATCAATACATTCAAAAAGTACCAGAGTTGAAAGAATATAGTTGATTAATCAATTGGCAGAAAAATAGTTATTATAATGATAATTATAATCATTTCAGTCAAAGACAAAATAGTGACTAATGTTTCCTGCCTCTCAAATGTGAGTTTTCTTTCTTTAATATCTTAGTGAGCTGAACATCTTTGTGTCAGTCAGACTATACAAGACTTTTATAAGACGTCACCTTCGTCTGTGTGAAGCTCTGGTTCACTTTTCATAGAATAAACTATTACTAAAGGAAAACTGATTAATCAATAATGAAATAAAGGACATATGTCGTGTCTGGCTACCATCTTTGTTTGATTGGAACATAGAGGTTTTTCATTAATCCAGTCTCTCATGGTTTTTCAAATACTTTTAAAACAGAGGGAAGTTGAACGGTCCTGACGGATTTTCATGAATCACCATTAAGGGATTCATCTCTTAGAGAAACAGATGAGCAGCTCAGTGACTCTAACTGCAATGTTTGGTGCTAAACTTTAAAATGTGACATGTTTTAACTTATTCAAACCTAAAGCTTCAGCGCCATGTTGCCTTAAGTTTAGGGAGTCAGGTGTTCTGTGGGTTTTGTGTTGCAGAAAAGTCTTAGTTCATTTTCCGGTGGATGTAGCATCAAGTTATTTAAACTTAGCTAACGTAGCATCAAGTTATTTAAACTTAGCTAACGTAGCGTCATGTTATTTAAACTTAGCTAACATAGCGTCATGTTATTTAAACTTAGCTAACATAGCGTCATGTTACTTAAACTTTGCTAATGTAGCACCATGTTATTTAAACGTAGCTAATGTAGCACCATGTTGTTTAAACTTAGTTAATGTAGCATCATGTTAAGCACAAAGCAGCTCAGCCAATCAAACTTATTTAGGACACTGACTCAGACCAAATGAATCCAAACTGACAGTAGGAGTCAGACTGAGAGGAGATGGAGCTGTGGAGAAAATTAAGTTTAACACACTGTGTTTCATTCATTTAATCCGTGAACAGTTACGTTTCTAACCGATTAACGTTCAGTCTGATTTCATGAAAACTTAACTCGTTGCGTAGTTAAACCAACTATACAGTGACCAACACACTGACAGGTCTGAGCTTCCTTTAATGAACAGTTTAAACTGGATTTGACCTGACCTCAGACCAGTCAACAAACACGTTTTGTCATTTTGAACCTAGCATCACCGGCTAGCCGAGCTAATTTAGCTAGCTTGTCTGTCAGGCCACTGCTGGCTGTTACCACAGCAACAACACGCACAGTGACTCAATAATCACAGTCACATATGTACGACAGATAAACTGTGTTTCGACGTCATTTCTGGATCATTATTTACACGCTGAGCTGAGAAAACAACAGCAGAACTGAACACAGCGGCACCAACCTGCTCCACTTCGTCCGCCATGATTTTTGAGTCTGCGTCATGTAGTCTGAGCCGTGCGGGGGTTGCCAGGTCCGGAGTAAACACGCGTTTTCTCAGCGTGTGTTCATATGATTTACATGTACTGAGAGCAATATGCAAAGAAAGACTGCTCATTAATCACATTGTCTGTGCTAATCTACTGAAAACAGTTTAGACATTTTAAGTAAAAAAAGAAAATATATTATATATATATATAATATATTAATGATACAAATTAAAAAATATATATATTATATATAGAATAGTTTTTTCTCTTATTGTATTACTTCATTATCTGCAGTTGCAAACAAAATTTTAGGCATCCAACAAGAAGAAAAAGTAAAACAAAATTTGTTAAGTTCTTTCAACTCAAAAATAACTAAAGTTAACTTTCTCTTTTTAGGTTTAGTGTATTTAAGTATAAAAGATGAGTGCTTCTTTCACCCCTTCACTCTACCTGATATGTGCTGGAGGAGGAGGATGAAATGCAAACCTGGCAACCCGCTACGTGAAGATAAGCAGTACCACTCTCCTCCTCCTCTCCGTTCATTTTCCAGACCTTTCCATCTTCCACACGGCGCAGGAAACGGTCCAACAGTCCAGCGGTAAGTTTGATTTTACCTCAAACTTTAATATTTTTCTGATAAGTCAGATTGATTTTCCCGCCGGCGCGGACTGAGGCCTAAGTCTCGCGGTCTGTTGTCGTGTTTCGAGTGACAACTGTCAAGTTTACAGTGTCAACTGCGCAGAGAGAGAATCGAGTTACAAGGTCAGCGGCTGAGAGAGAGCAGGTTAAAACAATAAGAGTCTGCAGCAAATACAGTAATAACTTATAATAATTATGATATAATATTATAATATAATGGTGAATCTGCTGTTGTTCTCTGTGATGGTCAATAAACACGCACAGAGTTAGGTTAAAACTGCAACTTTAGTCAATACAAATAAAAATATACACGAAATCAAAAGAGTTTATTGATTTATTTCGTCATATTTCCAGTATATGTGAAGTTATTGATCAATATATTTCTCTGTATCAGCGGGTTTATGTTACTGTCCTCTCTCTGTTTGTGCCACGTGTCCCTCAGCAGGTTGCACAGTTGGATTAAAGAACAAACTGAGCCTCAAAGTTTTAAGTTTCTGCAGCTTTTTATTGAAAAACATTGAACTCAAACCACATTTTAATTGGAGATAACGCGATTAATCATTTATTTAATCAGCTAAATATTCAGCAGCTACTTTGATTAGTGATTACTTGGGGAAATAATGGAAAAAATACAACAATTTCTCTGCTCCAGCTTCTTAAATGGCGGATTTTCTTACTCTCTTTGACAGGAGTGAAAGAAAACTGAATGTAATATAATCCGCTCGGGTTCATTTTAATATGTTATTTGTTATAAGTGTGAAGTCCGTTGTTTTTTCTTTTCCAAAGCGTATTTATTAAGTTTCGTTCTTTTTATTTAACTAAAAACAACAACAACAACAACAACAAAGCGCTCAGCTACACAATCAGCTTTAATACTAATGACATATAGTGAAGAAGAAATATAAATAAATAAATAAATAATAATGAAAACATATTAAAACAACACTTTTGCCCCTCCCTTTCCTTAAGTAGAAATAAAAACTGAAATATGAAAAGGAAAAAAATGAGGTGACAAACAGACATTACAATTAATGAAATTAATTAATCTTAAATACAGGCTACAACAGGTGTGGTTCCTGATGAGTCAAGAACAACAGTTGAAAGTGTCGAGGCCACTGGACAGTCTGTTGTTTTTTAATCATCTGAACATAAAAACCTTCTTATTGTTGATTTACATTGTGTGTTTATGCTTTTTTACATATGTTTATTAAACGTCATGTGACTCCACAGATAATACAGAATAAATGTTTTCATTTAATTTCACATTCATTCACTCTTTTAATTTGTTGTTTTTCTTTGTTGTTTATTTGTTTAGTACATGTATGAGTGTGTGTGTGTGTGTGTGTGTGTGTGTGTGTGTGTGTGTGTGTGCGTGTGTGTGTGTGTGTGTGTGTGTGTGTGTGTGTGTTATGTGTGTGCGCCTCCACTCCCAGTCCAGCCCAGTGCTCCATACTGGGTGTGTGTGTTCAGGCAGAGGAGGCAGAGCAGAGCAGTGGAGTGACCCATTCCACCCTCAGCTGCAGCGTGGCTCTGAGGTGGAAGACATCCCTGCTACAACTAACACACTACAGCCGCTGTCACTATGACAACAGTCACTATGAAAACAGTCACACTCAGAGAGACCTGGTCTGTCCTGGTCTGAGGTTTCACATGTGTGTGGGAGATGGTGTGTTAATACTACGACTGTCAGGGTGACAATAATGATAATATCTCCATCCATCTTCTCTCTCTCTCTCTCTCTCTCTCTCTCTGCTCTATCATCACATCCTGCAGCTCCGGCGACCGTCCACCAGATGGCGCCGATAGCAGGAAGCCAGAAGCTGACGTCACTGTTCACCTGAGTGGATCAGTTTGTACCATTGACTGTAATAAACAGTAGCTGAGAGGTTGTGTGTTGTTTATTATTTTATTTACTTTTATTTAAAAATGTCTGAACTTGATGCAACAGACGAATAAAGTGGGATTGTCTCAGTTTAACTCGTGTGTCTAAGGTTTGTCTGTCTGCTGGTGGACGATGATCAGGTGACGTGGAGGAAAAACAGCTGAAATAACTAGAATGACTTCCTCATGTTGTTTCCTCCATCAACCAGGAAACATGGTCACAGTCTCTCCTCTGAGTTACACACCAGAACATTATGATGTCACAGTGAAGTTGACCTTTGACCCTTCATTTTATCCTTATAAAGATTTGAGTTAAACTGTGTCATAATTAGTGGATGATTTCCTGAGTTATGGCCATAGACGTGTTTTGTGAGGTCACCATGACCTCGACCTTTGACCTTTGTCCATCAAATCATCCTTGAGTCCCAGTGATTATTTATGCCAAATTTGAAGAAGTTCTTTCCCCGAGGTTAAACTAGAACTATAAGAGCCCTGTTTCCATGGCAACAGTGCTCAGCAGGTGTTATCGGCTGTTACCATGGAAACATGGCTGTTAGCTCTAAGTTCAGTGATGCTGTCCTGCTGATCAATGGCACCAAAGGACCAAAACAAAGTTTTTAGAGACTCTTAGCTGTTGTTATTTTCATTTTTTAAAGAATTAAAAATCTAAATTTGACATCTGCATTAATCTGATGCACAAAAAATCTTCATCTGAATTTGGAATGAAAAGAAGACCTTAAAAACAAAAAACATGGCCGACAGAGTAACTTCACTCCAGGTCACTTCTCTTCATCAGCTCCACAGTGTGTGTGTCTCAGCTCTGAGTCTCCATCACTTTACTGTGGAGTTACTGCAGCTCAGCAGCTGAGACACTGAAGCTGATGAGATAAAAACCTCGATGAGGAAACGGTCAGGATTTCATATTAAACTGAGGGTGGAGACAAACTGACCTCAGATACCGAGCTACAAAATTCATCTGTCAGTAGCTGAGTGGAGACAAAATAAGATGTTCAATAATTAATCATTATTAATTCAGATGCACATATGAAAACGTTAAAATTTAAACTATATAACGTCACTTAAGTGGCAAATAAAATCCCTTTCCTTTGATCTCGCTCTCTGATCCATCAGAAAAAAATAAAAGGAAAGAAAAAGAAGAAAATAACAAAACCTGGAAACAGCAGGAGACTCAGCGTGAAGCCGTGTTCAGCAGCTGCTGGTAAAATGGGATTTTCACAACTGAACCAGGAACCAGACATTTATTTTGAAATACTGAAGGTTGACTGTTGCAGTCTCCTCCTCGGCCACAGGAGGTCGGTGTTGGACCAGGAAGACACAGGCGTCCTCTCCCCGTCCTGTCGTCCTCCAGCAACATAAAGAGGATAATGTTGCCCTTAATTAAAGATCCACCCAAATTAAAAACCATTGATTTGACACGTCTGTTATGTTTTATGTTTTATGGTTTATCTTCTCTGCCACTTCCTGTTTATCGTGTTTTTTCACCAGTTATAGTTATTCGTTATGTTGCCAATAAAAGAATGAAAAAAAATAAATGTGCATTTTTAAATATTTAACCATTAACTGGTAAACCTAAATGTTTCTATAAATCTGACATATTCAGATATATAATTAAGATTTGAAACGAGCGACAAAACATATATACAAATAATAATAATTCTAATTATAATAATAATAATTATATATCTGAATATTTCAGATTACAGTGTTTCCATCAGTCTGTTGAAGGTGTATCATCCCAAAGCTCCACGTAGAATAGTTTAGTTTGGAGAACTCGACTGAGCCGTGACCTCTGACCTCTGACCTCCGCCCAGGTCAACACCTGTGGGATGAACTGATGATGTCACCATCAATCAGCCTATAGATCTAGATTTAAATATAGGGAGAGAGATTTATAGAAACATTTAGGTTTACCAGTTAATGGTTAAATATTTAAAAATGCACATTTATTTTTTTTCATTCTTTTATTGGCAACATAACGAAACAAAAACAGGTGTGACATGAAATTAATGGATATCATAATACATAATACATACATAAGAAACGAGTGACAAAACATAGAGAGAAATATCAAAATAATAATAATGGAGTAAAGAGTAAAAAAGAGTAGAACAGCATAAATAAGAACATCTCATATATCGACATAATGTAAAAGGATCTGACAGTGAGTCAATAAAACAGATAAAAACATCATTTGGGATAAAACAATATAAATACAACAGATATCACCAAAGGCTGAGACAAAGAAATGTGTTGTAAAAAGAGATTTAAATTGTACTTTATTATATTTCATCTGTTCTTTTATTATTGATTATCTTTTCTTCTTTTTTTAAATCTGTTCTATTGAATCTTATTCTCAGATTTTCTCACTTGATTTGTATTTTTTTTTAGCTCACTGTGAACTGCACTCAGCTGAATGACAAGTCATATATTAATGAAGTTTGATTTGATTAAAGGAAGTTCATTAGTCACAGCGCCA